TTTAATTTTCTATATTACTAAACCCAAAGATTTAGTAAAATAAGAAACCAAAAGGGAAAGACACAAGTACAACATGGTCTCAAGTTGTGCCAGGGGAGGTTTAGGTTGGACATTAGGAAGAATTTCTTTGCAGAGAGGGTGCTCAGCCATTGGAATGGGCTGCCCAGGGAAGTGGGGGATTCTCCATCCCTGGAGATTTTTAAAAAGAGACTGGATGTGGCATCAGTGCCATGGGCTGGGAACCACAGCAGGGTTGGATCAAGGGTTGGACTTGATGATCTTGGAGGTCCCTTCCAATCCAGCTGATTCTCTGATTCTATGAACATTGACAGTAAAAAAAAACAACACAACACAAAGCCAAAACAAATCAACAAAACAAAAAAAAAAAGCCAACCGAAGAAGAAACCCTAAGTTTTCTCTTCCTTCATGTGATTTAAAACCAGTCAAGTTCTTATCAGGAATAATTATCCGTTGGGTTTTACCTTCTTCCTCTCCTTCTCCAAAGCTCTCCACTGCTCGTAACACTCCTCCAGTCGGATGTGAAGCTCATTAGCAGGTCCACTGCGGTTCCTTGGGGGTCTGTACTTGTGAAACGGGGGTGGGAAGGCCACGTAGGGGGCAGCCACCTCCCCACAGAACAGGTCATTGAGGAAGGGGCTCAGGGGGTTCAAGTCGTCGCAGTGGAAAAGGTCAACGAGTTCCGAGAAGGGGAACGGCGACGGGGGAAACCCCAAATTATTGGCTGATGGAAGCAGATGGGGATTAAACAGAGGCAGGCTGGGGTTCTGCTTAAAATCAGACACTAAGGGGAAAGAAGGAAGAAAAGAAGGGTTGATGAAGTCTGACAGGCTGCCACCATTCTCACCGTGCTTTTTTGGGAACATACTGAAGGGAGGGCAGTTTGGGGCGGTGCACCCCAAATGAGGAATCCAATTCCTTCTGCCTCTCCTGTCATCTCTACTGCAGTTTTCCTGGCTCTGCTTTTTTGGAAACCTGTGGTATTTCTCAGGGTCTTCACTTACAGCCTTCTGCTGCATCACCCAGTCAGATGAGGAATCAACAGGGAATTTATGGTACGGCCCCTCCTTATTAGTCAGTGAATCCTGCTGGGATTGCCCAACGGGTTTCACCTGCTTCTGGTTTTCTGAGGTGAAATTAGAAAGCCCCAAGTTATCAGAAAAACCATTTGATAATTGTAACCTTCCATCTTTCCTGGGAGGGAGGACAGGTAGGAGCTGTGAGTAGTAAGAGGACTGATGGGTGGGAGAACCCCCAGACACGGTTGAAACCCCTGAAGACGACTGTGGGCTTGTGACCTGTTTTCCGTAGGGAATATCCAGTCCAGCTGCCAGACCTTTCCCATCCAGCCACGCACATCCATGGTATGATGAATAGCTCCCGTTCTGCACAACGTTTTTCACAGATAAATCCCACTCAGCTGCTTTAGGAGAGAATTCTTTCGGACCAACATTAACCTTACATTCGTTATTATTATTATTAAAAGCACTCCCCAAAGGAAAGCCACAGTGGCCGTTTTGCACGTGGGTTTCCTGGGGTTTCCTGGCTGTTTCTCCAGGGAATTTATCTTCATTAGGGACTTGGTTGAAAAAATATAGTGATGGATGGAGAGCTGACTGCAGTTTGTGAGCAGATCCAACGTTTTCATACCTTTTAGGAAGCCAGTGGTTGTCCTGGGATACTTTATCCCAAGAGTTATCAAAGGGCTGCTTGCAAAGATCAGGGGAACACTTAGTTTGTTCTTGAGCATAATTTTTCAGGGCTTTTCCTCTTGCCCTTTCACTCTTCCAGTACTCCTTCTGAGCATTAGTGCCTTCTTTCAGCCTGCTCTGAGAAGAAAAAGGGCCAAAATTGGAGCCGAATTTTTCGTGGTCCCCACTGAGCCTCACGTGGTCGTAGCTGCACAGATGCTGGTTAAAGTTCACCCCGTGAAAAGAAAACCCTTCCTGGGGAATCCTGTTGCTATTGTTGTTTTGCAAGGAGGAATTTTCAGGGTAGCTGTTGCTCGGGACGCCGTCGGGCTGAGGGCGAGGGCGGGGTGGAGAAAGCCAAGACTGGATGAGCTGGAGATCTTCCAAACCTCTGGGCAGCATCTCCACATCAGGAGGTTTCTGCAGCTGCTCCTGGTGGCAGCTCTGTGTCCTCCCCAGCAGGCTTGGGAAATCCCTGCTTTCCACAGGGTGCTTGGCTGGGAATCCCCCGTTGCTTCCCAGGTCAGGCGCCCACATGGGGGGAAACAACCTTGAAAGAGAATTCCTGTAGCAGAGTTAAACATTTTATCTTTATTTATTTAATTAATTTATTTAATCATTTTAAACATTTCTTACATTACACACCATGGTTATTCCCCTCCACTACACATCTTTCCCATCACATTGTTGACCAACCATCCCCAGCTCTCCTCAAGAAAAAAATGAAGGAGAGGAATATTCCCACTGCAGTTGAGGAAATGAGGGTCTGTGAAATCTGACTACCAACACTGTTCTCTGCTGTTTATAATACATATATTCAAAACTGCAGAGCTTATTTGGATTTATTAAATATTTTATATTCCCCTGCATTCAGTCAACTCCCCACTGGTTAAAATTAATTGTATTTTTTCCTTCCCCAAATGCTGTAAAGCTGATGGAAGACTTTGGACAATTTGCATTTCTAACAGTTTATTGCCCCCTTTTTTTTTTTTACTGGCAAGTAAAAACACTTCCACATTTTAAGGGAATTTATAAGACCTTCATTACTGAACTCTGAAATAATTAAAAATGGGTATCACATCTATGTGACAGTGGGTATAAAAAAAAAAAACACAGAAATTTTAAGAGCTTTCAGAACAAACTTACCAATCTGTAACTGGTTCAGGCTTGTTTGGCTCCTCCAAAATGCTTGACACCAGCCCAAACATATCAGGGCCATTGCCAGAATAAGAAAGATTTATTGGTGCCCTAAAAACAAACAAACAAATAAATAAAAGCTTAGACAAATAAGTCTTTTTTTCCTCCTAAACAAATCAGGCAAAAGGAAAAGCAAAGGATAAAACCTTTAATTTATTTTAGCAGCATCACCTAGTTTGAAATTTGAATTTAATGTACTCTCAGCATCCACACACAGAAATCTTTTCCTGTACCTGTGAATTCTACAGCCTAAGAGGAATAGAACAATTTCCTTGATTTCTTGCTTCACCAGAGACTTCCCAAGTTGTCAGGTGAAGAGATTGGAGCAGCAAGAGAATCTCCTCTCTTTCCAAGAAACAACTATTCCACAGACATTCCTTCAAACCTTGACTGTCTGGTTGAGAGGATAAATAAGATCAACCTTCTCAAAGTCTTGGGGATTGTAATTTATCTACTTCTGTAACTCAAAAACTATTATTTTAATCTCAAAAAAAAAAAAGAAGTTATACTTAGGTTGAACCACTTTTTAATGCCTTGTTAGAAATAACTTTATCAGGAATATTTACTAAAGCTACAATAAATACCAGAGGTGTTCAACCATCACCAGTTTTACACAAGCCCAACTTTTACCTCAGGTGCAAAATGAGGCCTTTAAGAGCTGCCTGTGCTGACACCTGCCCCTTCCTCAGAAATTAATTAAAACATAACACTGTAAGATCTCCTTTCCTGTGACACACATTGTTTTGCTTTAATAAAGTTCACTCAAAAGCTTCTTGTGGCTCAGCTGATCCCTCTCAGTGTCCCTGAAGGTCTCCCAGTCTTCCCTGGTGTCAGCTCATCCAAACCACATCATCTGCTAATGCTGCCACACAATTACTCACTAATTCTGCTGATTAACAGAGACCATAAAATGTGGGATAAACTACTAAGACAAATCACTTTGTTAATCTCTTGCTACAATAAAAATAAGCCACTTATTCCTCACTGGTTTTTAAATACTCATTATATTTTGAATTTACCTACCTCTTACCTCATGACTGCTCAGTTCCCTCTGGAAGGGATCTGCTCTGAGGGATTTTATTTAAGACATACAGAAGTGCAAAGACTCTTGAAAGTGTTTTATAAACATACAACTTTTATTTGATGAGAATCTCTTCCCTGTCTTTGTCAGAAATAGCAAACTTCTGTCTTTTTCTATTTTTCTTAAAGGAGACCTCAAGGAACACTGAATATCTGCACATTCAGAATGGGTGTAGACATGGATTATCACTAACAGACAAGTACCATTTAATTTAATTCCTTTTTTTTAAAAAAAAAAAAGCTACCTTGCAGTAATCTAAAGGCTGCCTTTTAAGAAAATATTGAATATTTTAATCAGAGGATTGTCACTGTGCTTAAACCTAACACTTAAAGCTTAAACTGTGACACTTTCCAGGGAAGACTGGAAAAAAACATAGCTTTTCTGCATTATATGTGTCTTCCTTAATTGTTACCTTTCAGCACCTTGTGAACTGGGGGATTCCTCTTTCTCCCCATCTCAAATTTCATCTTATTAGGAAAATGATTAAAAAAAAAGCACTGAGATACTAGAAATACTCACTAGAAAGGCATCACCAAAGTGCCAAAAGCTGCTGTGCCAGTCTGCACCAACCTACCCCCCAAAAATCAATATTATATTGCCATCATTTGGCATAAAGAAGGAAAGGAGAGAGAGAGAGGGGGAAGCCCAACATAAAAAACACTGTTTATGCATTTCTGAGGCTGGAATAGTTTCAATGTGACAATTTTAACTGCTGTCCACAGGCCATGAAATGATCAGGGTGAACGAGAGGACTCATTATTTCAGTGGGTGCTCCCTGGTCACTGCCATCATTCCCTGTTCCTTGTAATCCTCATCTGTGATTTTATAGAAATAATTCCTCTGGAGAGATTTAAAAAACAACAACAACA